TTTAATTTAATTTTTATTAATTTTTACATTTTTCGAACTTTTTCGTCGCGCTGTGATGACGGCACAGCGCGCTTTTGTCGAGCGCGATTTTGTCCTACGCGCTTTTGTGGTGGAACCATATTTCCAGGCCGGCCTCACAGGCCAGATTTAAGCACTCCACCAGCCAGATCTAGGTCGTGGGTCTTGTGTTTGACACACCTGGTATCTAGTATCTCTGTTTCAAGAAAATCTAGCTATTTTTCTCCTACTGTATAAATCAACAAAATAGTTGCCATTCATAGGCTTAAAGTCTCATTGTTTTATAATAACTGCTTCATCTGAAAATCACTTCTTCCTGCTTTATTAGATTAAATCCCTTCAATTGCCTTGGCCAGAAACCTTCCACACCTGCTCACTCCAAATATTCTCTTGCATCAACTTCTTGGGCTCTTCCAAGCTCCTCTGAATTTATCTTTTGACCACTACCACCACCATTAACCCAAGACAGAGTCAGGGACTAAGGCAAAAAATGTATTAGAGAACAACTTCTTGGTGGAACTGAGGACATGTTGAAAGAATAGCTTCCATTCAGCTAAGCTATTAAGTAGCTTAATAGCTTAGCCGAATGGAGGAGCACTTACTTTGAGGGTTGAAAGTCATTCAAACTTAACCTTGTAGTAAAAAAGAGAGCAGTACCTGAAAATCTAAAAATGTTCCCCGTTGGACCAGAAAATGAATGTATAGTCTGCTTTAAAACCTTTTCTTATAATCATAATGATAACATTTCCATCTTCATCTTATCTTATTTTTTCTTATACCCAACTACCATTCATTTTATTGGGAGATGAATTTCTATTCTGAAGTTATTCATATAAGTCAACATTTTTCCTTTTCTCTCATTTCTTTCAGGTCTATTTTTTCCTTAAGGATCCATTTTTGATAATATATGTATAGTATCCTTATCCTCCACCAATTCTCTCAATATTTGCATAATAAATAATCAGGACAATAATGCTTTTACATTTATGTTCATTCCTTAGTCACATATAGATATTTCAATACATGCTTAGACCACATACATTACTGAAAACTCAGAGATAGCTTCTTACTAAAGACTTTTCCCATTTATTTTTGGGTCTATAAAGGTCCCAGAAACTTTTTCAGTACTCTCTTGTATCATTCCAACCAATTCATCCATGTCACCTACCTGAATGTTTTCCTCCAGATCACATCCTTTTGTGTTGCACAATTTTCCCCAAATACTTATTTTCATTATCATCATTCACTGGAGTGTAACATGAAGCTATTATTAGTCTACGGATTGCTGGGTTTTCATATGCAGTTGTTACTACCTAGATGAGATTAATTCATTATTCCATACACATACTTTAGCTCTTTCATTCATAACTGAACAAATATGTCCACTTTCCTGCTTAGATTCATAAACACCACAAAGTCTGTCCATCTTCATTCAATTCTTAGACATACTTGCATAACATATTGGGGTTTTTTTCAATTTCCTTTCATTAATTCCTGATCAATATATTCCAAAGTACCAACTTCTATATGCCCTGTCCATTCCAGATTGATATTCCTGTAACTGTAATGACTGTATACAGTTACTCTGTATGGCTGTAAATGAGTCCAGAATTATAGTTATAAATTATGCTGATCAATAAACTGTAAAGCAACATTTAGGAATGTCAACTGATTGGGGACCAGGCATGGGAATGGAGTGGATGAAATGTTTGGTTTGGTTTGATTGTATTGCTACTGCCATGGGAAGTGGCAAATGGAGATTTATGGTTTCTATGTTGTGGATTTTAATGCTGTAAGCCACCCAGAATCACCTGGGAGCGAGTTGAGATGCCATGCAAATTTGTTGAGTAAATAGTCTTTGTATTTTTAGATATTACTTCCAAAGCTCCAGGTTATCTCATAGTTTTATTAATTTATTGACTCTAGCTGTACTTGAGGGAGTACAGGATGCACATACAGACATATTTGCATTTACCAGCCTTTACTGGTTTCTTTTGCAGGGAAAACTGCATGCCATTTCTTTTTATCACATTTATATCTCGCCATTATCGGTTTCATCTGTTCTTAAATATGAGGAGCACGTTCAGCAGATAATACATCTCATTCATTATTACCAGTATTCAATCAAGCTTTCCCTCTCTCCCTCTCTCTGTTTGTATGCAGTTAGATATTTGTTTAATTGTAACGAAGCACTTTTATGATTTTTATTTGTGTTTCCTTTTTCTTCCGGCCTTAGCAAGGGATGGGGGGGGGGGAGGAATAATTGCTTTGTGCATTGTATTTATTTTATTTTATTATTTATTTATTTATTTGTAAAGCATGTATAAGATATTTATTTGTTAGAATTAGGGGTTTAATGTAAACAAATCAATAAGTGCCTATTTACAGAAGGATGAGGGTTTTAAAAAAAATATTCAAATACCATCCGCGGAACTCTCCTCGATGACGCTAGAAGGCAGAGACTTATGAAGGAACATTCATTTCCGCAAGCAGCGGCCTTTTGCTGCCCTAAAACTACGGTTCCCATATTGCCTTTCGGCGACGGCCTTTTCTCCCATAACGCCTGAGTCACGTGGCTCTAGATTAAGTGAAGGTCGTGAGGGAAAAGGCACCTTTTTGTCGCCGGGGTTCTCATTCCGGCCGATATGTTGACTACCACCATCCGCCGTTTCGGCACCTCCGCCCTTCGGCGGATGCATTACGAGGATGGGCCGGGAAAGGTAAGATGGAAGCATGGGGAGGCTATGAATTCAAGGCCTCCGCTACTTCTGCCCCTCGAGCGGCGGCATGGCCAGGGCCGGTTTCCTAGGCAAGTCGGGCTAGGCCTGCTTCTCTCCCACCCCGTCTTCCCTCTCCTTGGTCGTTTGTTGAGGATACCGGAAAGAGGCTCCTTGGCTTCTCTGGGCCCATCGCCTTTCGAAGTCAGTGAGGGAAAAATAATCTGGGAAGAGAGGAGTCTCTTTATTTTTCAGCCTCTCCACCCCCCCCCCCGCCCCTCCTGTTTTACGGCACGGAATTGCATTGGAAGGCCGGGGCCCAACCCTTGAAGCCTTAATCATTATTTATGATTGAGTATAATAAAATAATAATAATGAAGTGTCAATAAAATTCAATTAGTGGTAAGCTAATGAACTGTATAGTGACTTTTTGCTAAATTTCTTAACAGATAAACCTGGGAACAGTGCATATAAAAAAGATAACAATGCCTTCTAATGAAGATCAGCTCTTTATTATGCATCTATATAATGTAATGGAAATGGTTTGCCATTGTTTTTATTCTGGGATCAGTTCCTACTAACACTATAATTAATAACCTAAGAGGCCTATAAGGGGTGTGCATAAGTGCACTAAAGTGCCTACCATCCCAGTCCTAATGTCCCCATTTGTTCGTATCTATTTCATGTATTCATAATCATGTTTATACTTACATCTGTTATCTTATACATGCTTGACAATTAAAAATAAATAAATAAATAAAATAATCATGGAAAAGAGACTTTTTGAAGTAGAGAATAAAGCAGCCGGATTTTTTTCCGGATTTGATATTTGTAATATATCTGTTCTCATGAAACACTTGGGCTGAGCTCAAGATACAGGATGGGGCAACATACCTTCTTTTTCTTTTTTCTTTACCTCCCACTGTGGAATCATTTTTAGTAATGCCATTTTTCTCTCTGGTTGTAGCTTGAAAGCCACATGTCCAAAGCCCTGCTCAGTGTTGATGGAGGTGTTTTTAATATTCTCAGTAATCAGTTTCTTGTTTCTGTAGGGGCCTTTTGTTCAATACAGGACTATTTTTCTTCATTCTACCGGTACAGGTGATGATAGCATAACAGCATGAATAAAGATGATACTGTAAACGCTTTCTGATGTACCTATTCTGAAGTTGTACTCATACTAATTAATTTCAGATCATACTCATCCAAGATGGCATCTAAAGGACATACGTAGTATCTTTTTAAGGTGAAAAAAAATAGGACTAGTGTAAATGAGGTTCGAATTGAAGAATGTTGATATTAAACTATGAAACCCGTGAGACTGACTCTCTTTTTAGAAAATTAGGAATACAGTGATGTACTTCTGTAACTATAAATGATGAATGAACGTTTAGTACTTGGTTGCTATCCATGGGATTTAGGCCAAGTCACTTTTTATATATTAACTTTGCTTAATAACTTTGCTAAAACAAAGCTTCAACATTCTTATCTTTTCAGAATCTCCCATTCTCTGTTAACAACAAATGGAAATTGTTATTCGGAACCTTTATCTTTACCATAACTGGTATTGGTGGTCCCTGTTTTATTGTAAGGCATCAGCTGCTTAAGCAATGAATATGTTGTAACAGGTAATTCCTATTGGTTTTCTTTTCATTCTCTAGAAGTCTTTTACAAGCTATTTTGGTTACTCCTTGGAAGCTATAAAAACCATTTTCTGGTTTAATTTCAATAAAATTCAATTGGTGGTAAACTAATGAGCTGTATAGTGAACATTTTGCTAAATTTCTTAATATGTAAACCTGGAAATGGGGCATTAAAAAAAGATAACAATGCCTTCTAATGAAGATCAGCTCTTCATTATGCATCTATACAGTGTAATGGAAATGATTTGTCACTGCTTTTATTCTGGGATCAGTGCCTATTAACACTGTACATGTAAACCTGGATTCAAATTATATATTTGAATCCATCACAGGAACCATAGTTTTCTTCAAATTCTATTGTATCTTTTCTTCCAATAGCAGTTTAAATCATGATTCAGTAACATTTAGAAAACAATTTTAGTAAAGTCCCTCCCTGAAATGCAAAGAGCATATTTATATAATACAACCGGTCCATTCCTAATGTCATCATATATAGTAAGTTTTCAAAGTCTTAAATATATCACAACTAGGGTATTGAAATGCATTATGGATAGGGTTGCTATGAAAAGTATTGGGAGTTCCAGATGGTCCTATGGCCACAGCCAGGCCACCAATCAGAACAAGGCAGAAGAAAGACCTTATAACTATTTGACATAGCTGTACTTGTTACCAATGGGTTTTTTTTTTTCAGAAAAGGTCTTACAGCATTTAAACTTTGAGAAATGCTAAACAATTTTGGCCTCAAGACTCAGTATACCAGCATACTTAAAATGTCATGGTGGGCCTTCATAAAGCTGGTTCTGCTTATAATAGCTGTCTGTTGGGAATGTGGGAGAAAGCTTTCCCTTCAGTTACTTTGCTTGGGGACCATACTCAGTGTAGAGGTTTAGGAAGGGTTTCAGTGCCCATCTCTTTAGCCTCGCTTACTGAATGTTTCTAAAAATACATGCACAAAGAGAGCTGAGCTAAAAATTCTAATTAATCTTGACTGCTGTTAAATAAAATTCACAGGATTAAATATGATTAATAGTGGGATGTAAGAAGGTGTGGTAAAAACCATGAATCTGCTATCCTATACCAAATATTCACCAATGGAAAAAAGTTGGTACTGGCATTTTTGAGGGGAAGTTATAGTGTAATCATTAAATCTCTAATATATGTGAAAGAAGAAATGAAAAGAGTTAGATTTTTGAACTTCAGAAGAGTTCTGAATCTGAAGCAGAACATCCAGAAAAGCTACTAAAAGAAAGAAAAATTAGAAAATCTAAAACTCAATCCTGTGAACTTTATTTAACATGATTGCAGTATGAAAAAATGCAAATAATGTAATCGGCAGCATGTGGTTTCTGTAAGCTGTTATCCATTAAGCATTAAAGATTCTCAGTCAGAAAGACATCTTTAGCTATATAGAAAAGCCTTCATAGATTGTTCCCCATCTATGTTTTAAATTGCCTTGTTTAATATGAGTTTCATCTACAAAGTACGATTTTGGTAAGCTGAAAGGAATTAATTGTAGGATATAATAAATATTTTAAGGATTTTTATGTTTCCTTTTTTTCTTTCAGGTTGAGAAGAAAGAACAAAAGGAAATTTAAAACTAAGCATTCTACATATATAAATAAAAAATATACCTGAAACTACAGTAGATTCTGTTTCTGTTTGGTCTAAATATAGATTGATGAATTATATCGAAAGAAATTCCATTCCTAGTTATATAAAATGCTATGTTTTTTAAATACAGGTATATACAGATATGTTTAGATTTATATTATGTGTGGCAAATAAGTGAAGTAGGTAAAATGCATATGTGCACATTTTAACAATATAAAATGTGAAGGGTTTATATATGTATAGAAGCAAGGTGGATCATGCAAGATGCAGAACTCTAAAGCACAAGATCAATGGGAAATCACTAAAATGAAAGACTATAGAATTTAAAATATTCAATGAAATAATTGTAATACAGAAATTAAAATTGCACCCATTTTAAATTTTTATTTCAACCACAATAAATGCACTGCTTGTAAGTTTCCAAATGTACAACAATAGAATCTAATATTAATTCAGAGCAGAAAATTTTTTAACTGCCTAAACCAAAAAGAGATTTGAGGACACATTAAGTAGTCAGATGGAAGAAACCAAAAGTTAAGGTAAATCCGTGATGGTGAACCTATGTGGGCATACAAGCCGTCGCTCCACCGTGCATGCGTGCCACACATGGGTAGGGAGATAAGGGTGGACGTGTGCATATGCCTGGGGGTACATACTTTGCATTTTGGGGTTCACATGCACACACTTTGGACACTCGGTCCAGAAAAGGCTAGTCATCACTGGAGCAAGTAAAGTACAAATAGAAACATGTTGAGGATTTGGAGGTAAGTGCTCACAGTGAGCTAAGGGAGGAAAATTAGGAAAGATAATTAAAAGAAAATTATGCAGGATATGTTAATTAAACACCTAGGTGGTAAAAGATGGAACAAAAAATTATTTTCACACAAGTTCAAGGTTAGAGTCATTAATACAACAGGGATGCGGTGGCTCAATGGCTAAGACGCTGAACTTGTCTATCAGAAGGTCGACAATTCAGTGGTTCGAATCCCTAGCGCTGCATAACAGAGTGAGCTGTTACTTGTACCAGCTTCTGCCAACCTAGCAGTTTGAAAGTATGTGAAAATGTAAGTAAAAAATAGGGACCACCTTTGGTAGGAAGGTAATAGTGTTCCATGCGCCTTCGGCTTTTAGTCATGCCAGCCACCTGACTACAGAGATGTTTTCAGATAGCACTGGCTCTTCAGCTTTGAAATGGAGATGAGCACTGCCCCCTAAAGTTGGGAACAACTAGCACATATATGCGAGAGGAACCTTTACCTTAATGAAACTTCTGGAATCTTAAATATGTTAAGACAGGGATGAATAAAATTCATTTTTCACATTGGGCTAATTCAACACAACTTGTGTAGCTAGCTTTTACTCTCCCATCTCAGTCCGATTATGTGGACAAGAATCCAGAATAGTATAGTGTTGAGCTTCTTCGTATTATGTAAATTTGTCAATTCCAGCTGAAGCCATAGGGAGATTTTCCACAGATGCATATGTTGGCTAATATGTAATGTATCACACATATGTGTGTATATATACTAATAAACCGCATTCCATAGAATAGGAGCATGATTTTTTTTAAAGTGATGATTGTAAATATTTACAAGAAATATTTCAAAACACCCATCTGCAGATAGTAAGCTGATATTCACACAAAAATGCCACTTCAGAAAAACAACCAAAATAAGGACAGGTAGTTTTAGAAAATGTAACTTCACTGGGAAGAAAAGACATATCATCAAGTCATTTAGACTAAAAACAAGGTTGTCTTTTCTCTGGTCTTTCAGAATAACTAGAAGCGTTTTCATAAACATTTATTGATCTTACTGGGTCTGTCAATCTTCCATTATGTTGTCCAGTTATTTAAGATTTACTTTGTTGTCATTGTACGTAAACACATTATACCCATGCAACGAAATTCACATAACACCCAGAGACCAGGCCCAACACACATGATAATTCCCACACACACCCTACCCTCCCAAAATTCCCCACCCCTAAACCTCCCAAGCATCCACACAACAGACCAAGTAATGCTGTCCAACAGCTCACTGATGGTGGCCCTTTAGTTCATTGTTAAAGATTGTAAGCAGGATGGGAAGAGTTTCTGAGAATGTTGTGCAACTTCCTCAAACAGCGAGATGAAAGATGTCGTCCAGGGCTGGTAGCTGGAGCCTGATGATATTCTGAGCCGTTTTAATCATTCTCTAGAGCAGTGTTTCTCAACCTTGGCAACTTGAAGATGTCCGGACTTCAACTCCTAGAATTCCCCAGCCAGCGGATGCTGGCTGGGGAATTCTGGGAGTTGAAGTCCGGACATCTTCAAGTTGCCAAGGTTGAGAAACACTGCTCTAGAGCTTTTTTTGCAGAGCTGTTCCCATACCATGAAAGAATTGACACACGCAATGGTGCTGCAATAATAGGACAGAAGTAGATGCTGGGATAGATTTATCTTCCTGAGCATTTCAGGAAGTACAGCCTCTTCTGTGCCTTCCTCGCAAGCATGTTCTTTCCTCTGTGGAAAGAGGAATATAATTGAACCGCTGTGCTTAGAAAAGGCAGCCTTTGAAAGGTCAACTGGCACTATTGCTGCCAGGCAAAAACAGTGCCCCCAGGGCAATAGGCAAGTAGGGAAGATGAAGAGCCCCTAGGTGGTCATAAGTGCAGGCAAATACCAAGCACCCGACTTTTGAACATGTGACTGAGGGAACTGCAACAGCCATAACTTCAAAGACCAGGCAAAAATTAATTCAGTGCTGTTATAATTTTGGTTGCTGTATGAATAGTTATTAAGCAAGGACTAGCTGTATAAATAGTCCTAACTTAAAATAACTTCTGGCTTCTCTTCAAAGGTATTCAGTTTCCACTCTTATCACCCCTGTAAATGAAACAATTAATATGGTGGGTCACACAGTCAAGATGTTTATACTCGATTTGGCATTTTTATCTATCCCAACAGCAGATGTTTTAGATGTGTGATAGTCATGGCCTGACTTGTTCAGACTCATTCATAGAGAAATCGGTGCAATAACACACAGTAATGACAATAGCAAGCGTCCATTAAAGATTCCTCTCTTGAATTAACTTCTCCCACTTTATCACCATTGACCAGCAAGTGTGTATTCCATTGCACCTTTCCCCTTTGAATAAGTTCCACTGACTTGTTATTTCTAGGAACTTGATTATCCAGTCATGTGGTAGTGTGTCAAATAGCTTCTGAAGGATTATATTGGTCTGGGGGGGGGGGGAGTTTTGTCCTATGCACCTGGCGTAATTAGGAAATGGGGGTGTTGGGTCAACATTATAATCTAATCCATTCCACTTCTGCACAGCACTCTGCTAGAAATTTGCTTATTTATATGACTTATGCCAATTCTAAAAAACTTCTATTATCCTGATGGAAATATGACATCCATGTAACAAGTTGTAAAAGAACAACCTTTTCCCAGAACAGCATTTCTGCTTGTGGGTTCCAAAATATTGATAAATATATGTGAGAAGAAACCTGAACAGTCAGATTCATCATGCTGAAATAATAGCTAATGTACATTGCAAGGTAACTGCTTCACTACTGGCAAATGTGCCATTTTGGTCATTATTATTTGTGCAGCCCTGAAAATGCCACGAAAATCAAACATCTGTCATGCCAGATGAGGGAACTTAACTTATTTACAATGCTTAACGCACCGCTCATCCTTGAAAAGGTCACTTGTACCGGAACAGGCTACACATGGTTAACCAGCATATATTAAATGGCAGCGTATAACTCCAAAAGAATATATACTGAACTGGTTCTTGTAGATACAGTCCTTCTTGGTTACCTTTAGAAACCATGTTTTGTTGAATTTTTAAAATTAATACAATATTAAGATGGCTTTAGACATCTGAAAAACTAAATCTGTATAAAGCTGTGGAGGAGGGTATAATTTGAAAGGGATTGTGGGAACATGGCCTTTGTACCTGTAGAAGTTTTTCTTTTTTAAGCATATGAGGAGGAAGGTTTATGGGACTATAAAATAATTTTAGCAGCAAAATAATTTGATTGGATTCCACACACTAATAACCGTATTAAAGTGTATGGCAGGGGGCAAAGTAGAATCACTTTCACTGAACGTTCCTGAAAAGCTGGGACTAAGGAAGAAAGGGAAGAACACAAGAACACTTGTCTTGCTCACTACAAAATGGAGTCAGAACATAGAGAGAAGTGATGTAATGTGTCACTTGGGTAAATAAAGATAAAGTAGAACCTCTGGTAACAAATGTTTCTGACCAAGACCAAATCGGGTTCTAACCAAAAAAATTCACAAAATTTTTGAATCTGGTCACGAACACATACTCGGGAGGCGATCAAACACAGCCGTGGCCTATTTCCCCTTCCGCACCATTTTCTTTGTAAACGCCAAACAACAGCGATCTTGTGTGGCAGTGGTGGGTTTAAAAAAATTTTTAGAACCTCTTCTGTAGGTGTGGCCTGATTTGTGGGAGTGCTTGCCGGCCATGTGACCGGGTGGGAGTGGCTTACCAGCCATGTGACTGGGTGGGCATGGCCAACTTGTAAAATGTGGTGAAACTCACTTAACAACGCTCTTGCTTAGCAACCAAAATGTTGGCTCAGGAACTCTGGCATTGAAGTGTGCAAGTCTTAAAGCTGTCAAGTTACAAGACCCTTGCACCCCTAACTCTTTAGAAAAAAACCCCCAGGGGTGTTCAAACTTGACAGCTTTAAGACTTGTAGACTTCAACTCCCAGAATTCCTCCTCTCGCTCTTCATCTTGATGATGTGCGGACAGGCGGGGGGGAGGGAGCTGGAACCGGTTCTAAACGGCACTGTAGATTTGTGGAACCTCTTCTTTAGAGGCCTGTTGTGTGGCCACTGCATTAATTTTGGTTAGGTTTAGGTCATGACCAAATCAGGTTGCGACCAAAGTTATGGAACGAATTATGGTCATGACCAGAGTTTCTACCATACTTGACCACGAGGTCCCTATCCTTGGAGTTCTTGGAGAAGAATTTCCAGCCAACTATAAATTCAAGTAGTCCAATAACGCCCAATATTTCTGTTAAGTGAGATTTATTACGTGAGTTTTGCCCCCATTTTATGACATTTCTTGCCACAGTTGTTAAGGGAATCTGGCTTCCCCATTGACTTTGCTCATCAGAAGATTGCAAAAGGTGATCAAATGACCTCATGATGCTGCAATGGTCATAGGAAGGAACTGGTTATCAAGCATCTGACTTTTCATCACATGATCATGGGAATACTACAAAGGTTGTAACTGAAAAGCGGTCATAAGTCACTTTTTTCAGTGCTATTGCAACTTTGAATAGTCACTAAATGAATTATTGTAAGTCGAGGACTAACTTTATAAATGACAGCTACCCGATTTGGTGTGTGCACAGAACAGCAGCCACTGTTCTTACCTATATGCAAAAATGATGCCTGCTTATTTTGCACACAAATGCCTAGCAATTCTGCAGATTCCCAAATTCCCATTTCTCTGACAGAAATTAAAGAGTGTGGAAGATGCTCAATTTTTCTGAGCTGAGTGTCCTTCAAAACACTCCGGAGAAAGATCCAGGCAGAATTATCATCTCCTAGTCAAACCTCAAATGAGCAGTCATTATGACCAATTAACCATCATTCAACCTAGCAAAAGGAATCACTCGCTACAGCCATAATTGTAGCTTTTGCTAAATTTGAGTTTAAATTTCTAGACCATTAATGGCAGGTTTTCTATTTTATGCCATCCCAAATGCATAATTCTAACAGTTGGCCTACTTTGAAGGAGTTATTTAAAAGGTTTTTTCCTAAGGTAATAGTGGTACCTGAAATATGACTGTCATTTTAGGACAATTTTCTCCTAGGTATTTTATAACTTAGCATTCTGTAATTTTTTCCCCGTCTTTTGAGACTTCTCTGAAATATGCTGTATACTAAACTGTTTTACAATTACAAAGCAGAATCATTATACCTGATTGTACAGACTGTTAATTTCATCCCTACAAGTTTTTGTTTTACAAGACTGAATTTGATTTACTGACAGCAGGACCCAGTGTGCACAGTTTGAAATTTTGTTTATACGTTTGGAAATTTATCTACTAACTTCCAGGAAGCTCTGCTAATTGGGAATAGAACTGGAACTAAACAAAATTGATCTCACTTCCCCTCCCCCAGAAATCATTTGCTATATTCGTCTGGCTGTACTTATGAGCAGTTGGGAATTGGGTGGTAGTTTTTAAAACTACCATAAGCAGGAGTTTTAGGTTCACTGACAAAAGGGCGAACGACAAAACCGCACCCGACTAAACCGCGGTGACAAAACCACGTGTTCTAAAGCGCTCCGACGAATGAGCGCTGAATCGCGCCGACAACAGCGCGGAGACAGAAGTGTGCTGTAAAACTAAACCCTAAACCTAAACCTTACCCTAAATGTAACGCTAAACGTAACGCTAAACCTAATCCTAAACCTAACCCTAAACCTAACCCTAAACCTAACCCTAAACCTAACCCTAAACCTAATCCTTACCTTAAGTTAAATCGCTGTCACCGCGCTGTTGTAAAGCACCCTTCTGTCTCCGCGCTGTTGTTGCCGCGCTGTTGTCGCTGTATTGATGACGTCGCGGTTTTAGCGACGCGGTTTAGTCGGGCGTGGTTTTGACGTTCGCCCTTTTGTCGGGTCACAGGAGTTTTACATCCTTGGTCACACTGAAAGGTGGATCCAATCAATTCAATAAGGATCATTTTGACCCCAGAATTAACCAGTCACCTAATGAATAGTTTATCAGTTAACTCTGCCAAAAATCCAAACATGTACCACCAATCATCTATTGGATTTGAAGAATGCAAACAAGCATATATTTTGCCTGCTTAAGGAAATATGCAAAGGCGTAGATTTACATCCCATATTCTTCCTTGCCATGAGCAGATGAAATATTATGAAATTGTTTCTCTCTGAGATTCTTTTTCTATATTTCCATATAGCTCAACCTATGCAGCATTTATGTAAACCACAGAGCATTTATTTTGTTGTTGTTTTTTTACAAAAATACTTTGGGAGATCTTCAGGGGGTTACCCCATCCTGCAATCCCCATCAGGAAGCAAAATCAGGACTTCTCTGAGCCATCAGCCTGCCATCTGTGGCTGGTGGGATTTTTTGCGGGGGTGTGAATCTGCAGGTCTAATCTGCAGGTTTTTCCTTCTTGTTTGAGTAGATTTGGTGATAATGGTCTGTTATTTTTACTTTACTGTTTTTCCTTGTCTCTTCAGGTTTCCTCACAGTGGGGATGTTAACTAGCTGTGTACAAAGTTATCTGCAACCTTCCCAAATTGTTCCGATGAGTGAAGCATGAAAGGACATAACAGCCAAGATGGTGCTCAGCTGGCAATGGCATCATAGCTCCAGAAACGTCTCGTTGTGATGTTGCAGAAGGAAACACTGAAAGGAAAAGCGTTACTGTGATGCAGCAGGAATGCTTGTGCCAATTATTAAATTAAAGGCATAAGATGCATTACAGCCTCCCAGTATTTTCTCAATGCCAAAAGAAACACAATTGCTGAGGCAGCTGGCAGCTGCAATATCAAGATTTAATAGAGGCCTAACTGCAGGCAGTACTGAATAATAAATTCTAGCACACACATCTCTTCCCTTAGCACAAAAAAAATTGTGGGGAGGGGGGGAGAGAATTGGAGTGGTATAGCTGAATTCTCTAAGTGAATTCTTGCCTCTCCCCATTTATTCACTGTCTACCCACTCTTAAACACATTACGCTTCTCCCATATCTGTCCTCTTAGGGCAAGGGTGTCAAATTTGTGGCATTGTGTTGCTGTCACATGATGTTTCATGACTTTTTTCCCTTCGCAGAGCTGGGGTGGGCATAGCTTGCATGTGATGCACCCCGTCCGCAGATCGACACCCCTGTCTTAGGGAGTTCTCTCTATCATATTTTTACTTACCCATGAATAAAATAAAAAATTATACCCATAAAATAAAATTTAAAAAAAAATTACTCATTCAACAGCCCATTAAACCAGCGTATTCCATATAGTAGATTGCCCTGTAAGTAAACCCTTCTTTGTATATAGTTTTTAATCCCATAAACCTCCAAAATGGAAGAGAGTCACCATGGCTTACCAAATTATTTGCTTCTGATCTCACTTGCAACACAGTAGTTCTTTGTTTTCCATCATGAACCAAACAGGTGGTACTAGTTTCCACAACTTGCAGTTGCTCATCTCTTCTTTTCTCTTTTTTCTCTATATCTTGTTGTCTGGTTGACTTTTTCTTGCTTTCTTTCTTCTCGCAATGATGGCTGACATTTTGTCAGTGAGATTTCAACAATAGCACTATAAAATACAAGGTTTTATTGTGCTGTCTTATAACATGATATTACAATGTGCTTCACTCATATATAGGAAAGTGATGGTTTCACCACTGTGGCTTCTAAACATTTCCTACATAATTTTCTCTCCCCCAGTAAGTCCTGTTAGTAGATAGCCACCTTCTACTATTTTCAAAGCAATTGCCTATCTGCACCCTATTCAGCAAGATGGAAATGAGTTATATATATATATATATTTCCCTTTATTTATTTATCAGCACAAATGCAACATAGATATAGATATATTCACAGGTTTAGGTATGCTGGTCTTGTTGTATTTGGGTCTTTTCCCGTGTAAGATTGAGATTTTCTTGGCAACGTTTCGGCGAGGTCTCACTCGAGTGACACCTCGCCGAAACATTGCCAAGACAATCTCAATCTTACACAGGAAAAGACCCGGATACAACAGCCCAAAGAAAGGTGAAACATGTAGGAAATGTTTCAGAAGGGATCCTTCCTAGTTTACTGAGAGTAGAAAGAAAGGAGGGAGAAATACTTTTAGTCTTGCAACCTTCTGTTAATGTAATCTTACAATAAAGACAATATTGGTATTTCTGGTTTCTTGTCTAGACTATTTCAAAGGCCAATGGGCACTGCCTATTCAAAGGGCAATGAACAAAGACAGAATAAATTCCCTCATAGAAAAATGGCACTAGTTGCAGAATATGATATGAATGTTGTTCTGTAGATTAAGGTTGGGGGAGAGTTCAAAATAATGTGTGCTAGGGAAAACATCAGGATTCCTACAAGTTCTGCTCAGTGGTTATTCTTTGAGAAAAGAAAACAGACATGTATTGCACAATACACACATACCTTACAATATAGATAGAATAAAATAAGAGTCAGGATATGAAAGCACAATGCAGAACCATTCATAAAATACCTCTGCAGAAATTTCCTAATCCAAATATACCAGCACAATTTGTTTTGGAAATTTTCTTCAGATTCTTCAACTATTGTCTGGATTGGGGTAGTTTCTTACATGGGTGAGGTCAGTCAGTCAATAGATGCAGTCTTGTCTGGATAAAATTCAAAAGAACAATGAGGGAATGGACTTTTTTCCATTGTGCTTTTAAAGTCCAAGGGACATGGTGGCTCAGTGTCTAAGACACTGAGCTTGTCAATCAGAAAGGTTGGCAGTTTAGTGGTTCAAATACCTACTGCTGCATAATGGAGTGAGCTCCCATTACATGGCCCAGCTTCTGCCAACCTAGTAGTTCAAAAGCATGTAAAAATGCATGTAAAAAAATAGGGACCACTTTGGTGAGAAGGTAACAGTGTTCCGTGCACCTTTGGCATTTAGTAATGTCGGCCACATGACCACGGAGATGTCTTTGGACAACGCTGGCTCTTCGGCTTTGAAACATAGAGGACCACCATCCCCTAGAGTCGGGAACAACTAGTACATATGTATGAGGGGAACCTTTACCTTTAAAGTCCACCTCACTCACTTCTTCCCCCTAAGAATAGTTCCATTGCTGAAGAATCCGTTGATTCTTCAGAACTGATTTTCTTGGACTATAATGGTCTTTGTTCCTTCTCTAGATCAGAAAATTCAATTTTCATTGCTTTTATCTCTTTTGTGTCTGAACCTTTCGATAGAATAGAGGTAGTCCTTGACCTATGATCACAATTGAGCCCAAAATTTCCATTGCTAAGCAAGTCAATTATTAACTGAGTTTTGCCCCATTTTATGTCCTTTCTCACTACAGTTGTTAAGTGAATCACTGCAGTTGTTAAGTTAGTAACATGGTTGTAATGTGAATCTGGCTTGTCAAAAGGTCACAAAAGCTGATCACATGACACCAGGATGGTGTAACAAATAAATATGAGTCAATTGCCAAGCATCTCCATTGTGTCATGTGACCAGAGGGATGCTGCAATGGTCATGTAGAAAATGGTCATAAGTCACTTTTTTCACTGCTGTTTGAACTTTGAACAGTCATTAAACAAACTGTTGTTAATCAACTAACTAACTGTATTTTTCCCATCTATTATATACATGGTAATTGGGCACTTCAAAGTTGATACTCAGTTTGATTTTAACAGACTCTACACCAGTGGTTCCCAACCTGGGGCAATTTGATTTTTAATGGGGGCAATTTGAACCTTATTTAAACCAAGTTAAAGGACTTTTAGACTTTCTTCACATGAGTAGAGTTCACTTTTTGACTAAAGTAAGAATTATATGTCGCAGGGGGGCAGGGGTGGTTTCCAGCTAGCTTTACTGCTGGTTTGCTAGTGTGTGTGCTTTGCACGTGTGCGCAGTTCAGTTAAAATTATTCTGTGCATGCGCAGAACTCAAAAAAAGATGGCGGCAGCAGTGACGGTAGCGACCAGGGAACCAGTTCGGGGGCTTGGCAGGCTTGGGTCGCTGCCGGTTCCAGCGACCCAGGCTGCCATACCACTACCAGTTTGGCTGAACTGGGCCAAGCGGTAAGAATGCACCACTGCAGGGGACGGGCATCAGGATTTTACAGATGCTTAGGTGGGGCAAGGCCAAAAAAAGGTTGGGAACCACTGCTCTATACTGAACGTATGGACATAAGCAGTGCATTGCTAAATCAGACCCCTGGCCGCTCTCATCCAGCAATCTCTCCCCACAGCAGCCAACCAGTAAACCCAGAGGTCTCACAGCATATAACTTTCTTAGGCAGTCACACTACCATTAAGCCATTGATCCCCCAACTTTGATGAACTGATCCTAACATTATAATGGATTGTGTAGGTGAGCATTTGCTGGCCAGATGCCCTTCCTGATGCCTACATGGAGCTCGCAGCATTGTAATGACTTCTATAATTTTTCAATATTTATTAATTACTGTTTATTGTCACTACCCATTGCTTTTTATTGTTTTTTAACAATATTTTTAGCGCGCGCACACACACACACACACACACACACACACACACGATATGTATGTGTATATAGATGTGCGCACACACACATACTGTATTCATGCACACTTTGTCCCTGCAACCTGTCTTGCAGGTTTGGATCCTGTGAATATTTTCTAAATCAAGTGAATTTTTTAACTTAATTTGACAGTCTTGGCAAAAGTTTCTGGGAGGTTTAGCCATCCTGCAGGATTGCTTACTGCCTGCTGAATTTTGGCTCAAGGTTCTGCCCAATCTTATGTTCTTCTCATGCAATGAGTTTTAGGAGAAAAATATTGCAGGAATAGGTCAACATAATTGGCTTTCTTTTCCATGGAAAAATAATAAGTCCCTTTTGGGCCCATTGCCTGCCAAGAAGATATAAAGAGGAATAATGTGATGAGGGCTGCATGCTTGATGTTTGCATCTGCTTCATGTTAGTGCCCAGATGCCACATCTTTTCCAAGCAATTCCTATAAGCCGTTTTTTTAAAGAATGTGTTTTTCTATAGCAAAAGATATTTCAGGCTCCTCATAGTGATTTAGGATTTCATTTCTTGTTCTCACTTATTACTATGTTGGCAGACTCTGATAGATGTCTTTGATATTATAGTTTTAATAATTAGTCTTTTCAATACACGAGAAAGGCATAACCCTGAAAAGCAACTATCTGTTTCTGTGTTTCTTGGCATCTTAGGTATTCTTCTAAAAATTCAAGCCTGTAATCTTACAAAGTCATTCTCAATGGGGATAACTGTAGGCTAGATAACCAATGATTTGATTCACCGTATAGTAGTGTGAATCATTGTGCATTTTTGAAAAAATGCTTTGCAATAGCAGCTGCTTCTATAAACGCAGAAATTATTTTTCAAATATGAACAATATTGCTTTCAGTCTCACTCCTTTTCACATGCACACTATCATCTCTCTTATCTATCAGCTCTATCCTATCTATCTATCTATCTATCTATCTATCTATCTATCTATCTATCTATCTATCTATCTATCTATCCATCATCTATTCATCGGTCTGTCTATCTATTATCTATCTATCTATCTGTCTGTCTGTCTTTCTGTCTGTCTATCGTCTATCGTCTTATCTATTGTCTATTTATGAAAGTGTATCTTTAATGATATTGTTTCTTCATTAGTACCTTATTTTAGAAACTATAAAATAAACTAAATTGGCCTTATTTCTATTTGTTTTATCTGGCTTCATCTTTCCTTACCTACAGTATCTATGAAAAAATAAACTAGACCGCATGGTTCATTTATGATGTGATTTAATAAGCTATCTTTTACATACATTCTACAGAGATGTATAACTTGCAAACACTTAGTAAAAAGCACTTATTTTTCTTGGTTCTTTTAATTTTAATTCAGAGGATTCCATGTAAGAAGCAATTTAAAGCAACACTGCACATGCTGTTATTAAATAATCTACACAACCCAAAATAGTTTCAAGTCCCAGAAGAAAATTACAAGCACATGACAAAATTAGAGAGGTAGTAAATGAAAGCTTAACTAGTTCCTAATTTCCAGTAAAAGATAAGATTCACATTGGTCCATGATTCTACCCTTCCCCATTTTTAAAAGCATATGTGTTTGTTGCTCTGCAGCAAAAACTATGAACATACGAAGTGACATAAATCTTAGAAAACACCATACGAGTCTCCTAGGAACTGATTTGCAACTAGAATGTTATGCAAATTATTTTCTAGGTTTTCTTCTATCATAGTCCAATCCTATGATCCAGGAACTTATGACTCCAAGGATCATAAGTCTGGCTGAATTCCCTTTTCCAAGATTGAAGATGAGCTTCTGATCTTAGATACGATCGTTAAAAATAGGCTTTTTGTGAGATGAAGAAAGTCCAACTTCAGAAGGACCCAAAAGAGGATAGGATAGGAATATGGAGCTTCTTTTCTTCCACCGTTCTCAGTCCAACTGTCAGGCTCACTGGATAGTTTCTCAACATATTTCAGTATCTTTCTGATCATAATATGACAAGTTATTTTGTAAGATATTTTGCTGAAGTGAAGCTGTATTATTTGCACAATAGGCTCATCTACACAATTTAAAAAGTGAAAAACTCTCCTCTTAAAACTTGTATTGTATAAATCTGTGTTCACTTTGATTGATCACTACATTGTTTTCAA